AGGGACGGAGTGCGGTTGGGGAAGAGGCGGTAGTAGGGGACCGACTCGTCAAACGTGACGTCCTGGGAGGACAGAACACGACGAGAGGTGGGGTGGTAGAACTGCCACCCTGGCGCATCAGGGGGGAAGCCAAGGAAGACGCAAGGAGCAGCACGAGGGGACAGCTTGTCCGCAGACAAGTCGCGGACAAACGCCCGAGATCCCCAGACCCGAAACGCAGACGCATCGCCAACCTTCCCCGTCCACAGCAAAGCTGGGGAGGTCTCCGGAATGGAGACCCTGGGGTGAAGGTTGATCTGATGCGCCGCGTACCGAACCGCAAACGGCCACAGAAAATGGGGGGCAGGCGCATGCATCATGGACGTACGGGCGACGTCCATGACCATGCCAATGCGGCGCTCAGCAATCCCATTTTTCTGTGGAGAGTCCGGAAGCGTGAAGGTCTGGCGGATGCCTCGTGCACGACAGTAGGCTCGCAGAAGGCCAGAGGAGAACTCTCCGCCTCTGTCAGAGTGCAGACGCAGAACAGGAAAGTCCGAGCCGAAGCTCTGCCTGAGCTGGAGACGAGCTGCGCGGATCCAGTCGATCAACACCTCAGTGACATCACCCTTGCTGCGCAAGGGGAAGACTGTGGTGTAACCCGAGTAGTCGTCAACCACCAGCAGGAAGTAGCGCTCGTGACCCTGTCCACGGACGCGGGGTGGGCCCCACACGTCCATGTGAAGCGGCTGCAGCGGGGCCTCTGTCGGAGGAAACTGGGAGGAGTGAGGAGCAGCACGCTGCCGCCCCTCGACGCAGGGGACGCAGGCAGGGGCAGGCCCCGGGGGAAGGGGAGGGAGGGCCCGGGGAAGACCAGAGATAAGGACACGGGAGGCCATGCCTCGGAGACGAAGCAGAGAGGGGTGACCAAGGCGGTGGTGCCAGAGGAGAGTCTCGTGAGACAGGAGGCGACACGAGCAGGGGGCAGACTCAGGACCAGACCTGGACGCTGCAGCAAACAACTGACCTGACGCAGCTACCTGACCAGACGCAGGGACAGGAGGAGACTCAGTGGTCAGTATGTACAGGCTCGACCCCGGCCGACGTGAAAACGTGGCCAGGTGTCGGCCTGTCCGAGCGTCCGTGCAGTGGGTCACCCGCTGACTCGCAGGAGTGAACTGGTGAACCCCCGCATCCTGTAGGTCAGCACCACTCACCAAGTTCGTAGAGAACGAGGGGAGGTAAAGACCAGACAGGGTGCCAGAGGGGGCCGCCGGACACGGGAGGACAGTGGAGAAGTGAGCAAGGACAGGACCCCCAGAGGGGTCTGCCAGAGAGACTGCAACTGGCCGACCAAGCGGCGTGAGTGTGGTGCGGTCTCGAAAGAAGGAGCGAGAAGCCCCCGAGTCAAGGGTGAAGGTGTGGGAGGCCGAAGCCGACGCGGTACCTGAGATAGCAGACTCACCAGCACCTGAGGAAGTAGACGCACTGGCACCTAGAGCAACAGTCTCGCTAGCACCTAGAGCAGCAGCCTCACCAGTACCTAGAGCAGCAGTCTCAATGCCCGGGTCGGGCGGAAAACACCGGTAACAGTCACCCTCATCACTAATAGTCACAGCATACATGGCAGCAAGAATAGCATCAAAGTCAAGGTCAAAGAAAGCTACTCCCGCCCTAGAGAGCTCGCCCCAGCGGGGGATCTCAGCGGCCTCCGGGAACTGGTGACGCCAAGCGTCCGTCAGGCGGCCAAAGCAGCGCTGGGTGGAGTGCGCACCCCCGCACTGCTCACCCGCGCGGTCGCCGGTGCGTTGGACGTAGGTGCACGGACCAAAGCCCCCACCCCGCTGGCGTGCAGCGTACCACTCACGGAGCTGCTGAGGGGGGGGGGATGTCACGAGTGCGCTGCTGCTGCTGCTGCTGCTTGCGCAGACCACCACCGAAGCCGACCCACTGCGCAGCGCCACCCAAACCTGCTCCACCTCCTCCGCCACCGCCTTCTCCACCGCCACCACCGCCGCCGCCTCCGCCTCCACTGCCGCCACCAACACCTCCACCCCCGCCACCACCCCCACCGCCACTCCCACCCCCTCCGCCGCCTCCGCCTCCGCCTCCACCGCCCCCGCTAGCTCCTCCAGCGCCCCTGCCCCCCTTGCCCTTGCCAGGGCGGCGTCTCCGGCTAGGGGTAGACGCCGCACCGACAGACTCAAGACCAATGAGGTCGGCCGCAGCAGCAGAGGCAACAGAGGGCAAAAGGGGGGAGGGGGAACACCCCTCAAAGATGGGGGTGCGAGGGTCACCACGAGAGGCTCCTACAGCTACTATGCTCTTCTCTGCTGCTAGGAGGGCCTTCTCGAGGAGGTTAACGGTGAGAGTGGTTGGGCAAACTGAGAGGAAGTGGTCCCTGACTACGCGAAGGGAGTCGGGGAGCCGGGTGACTATGTAGTAGAGGGTGATGTACATGGGGGGGGGGGGTTCTTGGCGCAGAACTCAGCGGGAAGCGCAGCGCGGTAGCGAGTGTCACTAGTGCGGAGGTGCGTAATGAGGTCAGCGACTGTGGGAAAGGCAGCAAGGTCAGGGAAGAGGTACGGTAGCATGAGGCGGCTCAGTGCAGCAGTGGCAGGGGAGGAGTAGCGTGCAGCTACAGCGTCGTACAAGGTCTGAGCACTCTTGTACTGACTAAAGTGCGCACACTCAGAGGTAGGCAGGTGGCGACGCACAGCAAGACGTGCAGCAGCATCGCGTGTGGCCCACTGTGAGCGAACAGTGGCGTCAGCATCAGCAGCAGGGGCAGGAGAGGCACCACAGGTGAGGTCAAAGAGGGAGAGACCGTCTGCCCTATCGCACTGTAGGAAAAGCTGCAGGTCATCTACCCAGACGTCAAAGTCAATGGCCCGACCCTTAGCGTCAAAAGGGAGGACACTAGGGGTAGCCATGACAACAGTATACTAGCAACGCGAATAGTAGGGTAAGGGCAGTGCAGTGACAGAGGCGCTGCTCTTACCGGACAGGGCGGCTCGGGCGGCTCGGCGGATCGGCGGCTCGGCGGCTCGGCGACTCGGGCGGCTCGGCGGCTCGGCAGCAACTGCGGCTCGGGGACTCGGCGGCGTTGGCGGCTCGGCGGCTTGGCGGTACGGCGGCTCGGCAGCTCAGCGACCCGGCGGCTCGGGCGGCTCGGGTGGCACGGCGGCTCGGGCGGCTCAGGTGGCTCGGGCGGCTCGGCAGTAGGTCGGCGGCGCCGGCGGCTCGGTGGTAACGGCGGGGCCGCGTGGGGACGGCGGCGGGGCCGGTAGAGGCAGCGCCGGGTCCGGGAAGGGTAGCGCCGGGGCCGCAGGGTAGGCGACGGGGCTAGCAGAGGCGGCGCCGGGGCCGGGAAGGGCGGCGCCGGGGCCGGGAAGGGCGGTGCCGGGGCCGCAAGGGTAGGCGACGGGGCCAGCAGAGGCGGCGCCGGGGCCGGGAAGGGCGGCGCCGGGGCCGCAAGGGTAGGCGACGGGGCCGCAGGATAGGCGCCGGGGCTGCAGGGTAGGCGACGGGGCCAGCAAGGTCGGCGACGGGGCCGCAGGGTAGGTGCCGGGGCCGCAGGGTAGGCGCCGGGGCCAGCAGGGTAGGCAGCGGGGCCGCAGGGTAGGCGACGGGGCCGTGAGGGTAGGCGCTGGGGCCGCAAGGGTAGGCGACGGGGCCGCGAGGGCGGCTTGAAGGGGTCGCTAGGGCAGCTCGAAGAGGCCGCGAGGGCGGCGCGAAAAGGGCCGCAAGGGCGGCGCGACGCGGCCGCGAGGGCGGCGCGACGTGATGGGGCCGCGAGGGCGGCGCGACGGGGTCGCAAGGGCAACTCGACGGGGCCGCTAGGGAGGCGCGACGCGACGGGGCCGCTAAGGCGGCGCGACGGGGTCGTAAGGGCGGCGCGACGGGGTGGTGAGAGGGGAGCGCGACTCGGGCAGAGGCTGAGCGCGCTCCGGGCAGGAAAAAAAAAACGGTGGGCCCTAGGAACAGTTCCCACAGGGGAACCTGCTTTGATACCATGTGAAATTGAACGAGAATGAATGAACTATGAAATAGTTGGGTACAAGTGCTAACCCTAATTGGGTTGTACCCCTTATGGGCTACCCCGCTACAGCCTAAAGAAAAATATAAGCTATAATGTTCTGACAAGCGTTCCCACTAGGGAACCTGCTCTATACCATGTGAAGAAATGAGGAATGAATGAACTATCAAGCAGGTGGGTACAAGTAGGAAAACCTAGAAATGTTGTACCCCATATAGTCTACCCCACTACAGCCTACACAGACTATAGCATATAAGTTTGACACGCTTAGGGGCGGCGACGGGGCCGCGTAGGGTGGGAGGCAACGGGGCCGCTTAGGGTCGGCGGCGGGGCCTCTTAGAGGTGGCGACGGGGCCGCTGAGGGTGAGAGGCGACGACGGGGCCGGTAGGGGCGGCGACGGGGCCGCTAGGGGCGGCGACGGGGCCGCGTATGGGCGGCGACGGGGCCACGTAGGGTGAGAGGCGGCTATGGGGCCGCTAGGGGCGGCGACGGGGCCGCTAAGGGCGGCGACGGGGCCGCGGAGGGGCGGCGACGGGGCCGCGTAGGGGCGGCGACGGGGCCGCGTAGGGTGAGAGGCGGCGACGGGGCCGCTAGGGGCGGCGACGGGGCCGCTAATGGCGGCAACGTGGCCGCGTAGGGGCGGTAACGGGGCCGCATGAGGGGCGGCGACGAGGCCGCTAGGGGCCACTAGGGGCCTGGAAAGGGCGGCAAAAGGCGCGCCTCGGGCAGGAGGGACTGGCGCTCCGGTCAGAAAGGAATTTTTCAGTGGTGGGCCCAAGGAAGCGTTCCCACTAGGGAACTTGCTCTATACCATGTGAAGAATGAGGAATGAATGAACTAGCACAAGGTTGGGTACAAGTAGGAAACCCTAGGAAACTGTACCCCATAGTGTCTACCCCACTATAGCCTACACAAGCTATATAATATGAGTTTGACAAGGTGTGCCGGCCGATCGTGAACCTGATCGACCGCGAGTTCGGCATGAGCTTCAACATCGCCGGGCTGGGCGGGCTCGTGAACTGCGGGAAGACGGGGTTCAAAGCCGCCATGAGCCACTCGCCCGAGTTCCCCTGCGACAAGAGCGGCAAGCCCAAGGAACGATGTAAGTACCTGAACCTGTTTCCAGCATCGAACTGTGATAAATCACAGAACGCGACGAAAAAGGAAGAAAAAAGAGGAAAAAATGAACTTGGGTCTTGGAGAGAAAAATGGTTGTCGCCATGTGTTTCCGACTCATGCTCGCTCCTCGTGTTCCCTTTCGTCCCTTTCCAGACATCTTCTTCGGCTTCCCCTACGTGTCAATTGGCGAGACGGGCGAAGTCGGTTCGCTCCTCCGTCGCGGCCGCGGCAAGCCGTCCAACGCGTGTGGTGCGCTCATCGCCATCCGCGGCGACATTTGCGCCGGCGGTCCAATCGTTGAGGACCCCGACAATGCCGAGTACGTGCTTCTCAAGAAGAAGGTCGCGTCTCGAGTTACCACCGACGAGCCTAATTTGGTGCAGGTCACCCGCGCTGCGCTGCAGGCTATCACGGACGACCTTGAGTACCTTATCTCGCAAACCGTAGATCCCGCGACCGTGGATTACGCCGTTATTACCGGCGTTAAGATTCATTCCGGAAACAACCTCCCAGACGAGCCATTTCAGACAGAGCGCCTCTGTGACTACATCGCCCCCAACGCTATGTACGTCGTGATCAATGGCGAGAAGCACATTCTCCACTGCGAGATCAACCAGATCAATGCCATCAAATCCGTCCCTGCCTATAAGTTTGCCAACTGAATAAGGGCAAGGGTTGACTTGGCAACCAACTGTAGAGTTCCTGTCCGTCGGTGTTACTCTTGAATGGTTGTTTGTAGTAGGTAATGTAAATAAAGCGCTTGCTATCCAGTTCATGCCCTATGGCTGCGTTCTGCGGGCGCATTAGCTCTGATGCGCCCTAGGCTCGGCCTGATCCGCACATTGAGAAATTGAGGTTCGGGAATGAGGAATTCGAAATTAAAAATAGAGGTTCGGAAAATAGAAATTTAGGTTTGGGAAATCCGGAAATTGAAATTTGATATTTCATATCTCGGGTTGCGTTCTGTGGGCGCATCAGCCCGCATAAATGTACATTGATGCATTCTAACACGGCTCCAAGATACTTCCGTGATAATTGCCGACAGGTTATCAAGGCTCGCGATAAGCGCATGGCTGCCGAAGCGAAACAAATCCGAATGCCTGCAGAACGGCCTTTTCGGCGACCAAAATTTAACATGTCGCCGATTTACGAGAAATTTCTCGTCCTAGCAATCTGGCGCATCATTGATCCGCGCATCATGCTGTCAAATTATAATATTGTGTAGGCTATAGTGGGGTAGTCTATATGGGGTACACATTTCTAGGGTTGCATATTTGTATCACTCCCATTCCTTAGTCAATCCATTCTCATTCTACTTTCCTCATGGTATCGAGCAGGTTCCCCCTTGGGAACTGTGCCTAGGGCCCACCACATCGAGTTTCATTTTTTTTTTTTCTACTGCCCGAAGCGCGCTCCACCCGAGTCGCGCTCCGGGCTCTCACCTCGCCGAGCCGCCCTAGCGGCCCCTACGCCCTAGCGGCCCTATCGCCCTAGCGGCCCCTTCCCCTAGCGGCCCCGCCGCCCGTCGATTCGGCCCCGCCGCCCTTTAGTGCGGCCCCGCCGCCAGTCTCAGCGGCCCCGCCGCCCTTCTCAGCGGGCCCCGCTCTACTTAGCGGCCCCACCGCCCGTCGCTGCGGCCCCGCCCTTCTCAGCGGCCCCGTCGCCCCGCATTGCGGCCCCGCCGCCCGTCTCCGTGGCCCCGCCGCCCGTCGCTGCGGCCCCGCCCTTCTCGGCGGCCCCGTCGCCCCACATTGCGGCCCCGCCATCCATCTCAGCGGCCCCGCCGCCCTTCGCTGCGGCCCCGCTGCCTCCCTCGGTGCGGCCCTGCCGCCCTACTCAGCGGCCCCGCCGCCCTTCTACTCAGCGGCCCCGCCACTCTACTCAGCGGCCCCGCCGCCCTACTCAGTGGCCCCACCCCTCTAATCAGCGGCCCCGCCGCCCTTCTACTGCGGCCCCGCCGCCCTACTCAGCGGCCCCGCCGCCCTTCCGCAGCGGCCCCGCTGCCCTTCTCAGCGGACCCGCCGCCCTACTCAGCGGCCCCGCCGCCCTTCAACTGCGGCCCCGCTGCCCTTCTCTGCGGCCCCGCCGCCCCTCACACCAGCGGCCCTGCTGCCCTACACCGCCCGCGCCGCCCGAGCCGCCCGAACCGCCCGAGCCGCCCGAGCCGCCCAAACTGCCCGAGCTGCCCGAGCCGCCCGAGCCGCCCGACTCTCCTGAGCCGCCCGAGCCGCCCGACCAGCCCGAGCCGCCCGAGCCGCTCGAGCCGCCCGACTCTCCTGAGCCGCCCGAGCCGCCCGACCAGCCCGAGCCGCCCGAGCCGCCCGAGCCGCCCGAGCCACCCGAGCCGCCTGAGCCGCCCGAGCCGCCCGAACTGCCCGAGCTGCCCGAGCCGCCCGAGCCGCCCGACTCTCCTGAGCCGCCCGAGCCGCCCGACCAGCCCGAGCCGCCCGAGCCGCCCGAGCCGCCCGAGCCGTCCGAGCCGCCTGAGCCGCCCGAGCCGCCTGAGGAGCCGAGCCGCTGGCACCACGGAGCCGCAGTTGCTGCTGAGCCTTCCGAGCAGCCGTGTTGCCGTGTTGCTGTACTGCTGAGCTGCCCGACCCGCCCTGTCCGGTGAGAGCAGCGCTTCTGTCACTGCACTGCCCCTATCCTACAGTTGGTACTGCTAGTCTACTGCTGTCATGGCTACCCCCAGTGTTCTCGCTTTTGACGCTGAGGGTCGAGCCATTGAATTTGAGGTTTGGGTAGATGACCTGCAGCCTTTCCTACAGTGCGATAGGGCAGACGGTCTCTCCCTCTTTGACCTCACCTCTAGCGCCTCTCCTGCCCCTGCTGCTGATGCTGACCCCACTGTTCGCTCCCAGTGGGCCACGCGCGATGCTGCTGCACGTCTTGCTGTGCGTCGCCACCTGCCTACCACTGAGCGCGCGCACTTTAGTCAGTACAAGAGTGCTCAGACCTTGTACGACGCTGTAGTTGCGCACTACTCTTCCCCTGCCACTGCTGCACTGAGCCGCCTCATGCTACCGTACCTCTTCCCTGACCTTGCTGCCTTTCCCACAGTCGCTGACCTCACTACGCACCTCCGCACTAGTGACACTCGCTACCGCGCCGCGCTTCCTGCTGAGTTCTGCGCCAAGAACCCCCCCCCCATGTACATCACTCTCTATTATATAGTCACCCGCCTCCCTGACTCCCTTCGCGTAGTCAGGGACCACTTCCTCTCAGTCTGTCCCACCACTCTCACTGTTGACCTCCTAGAGAAGGCCCTCCTTGCAGCGGACAAGAGCATAGTCGCTGTAGGAGCCTCTCGTGGTGACCCTCGCACCCCCATCTTTGAGGGGTGTTCCCCTTCCCCCCTGTTGCCCTCTGTCGCCTCTACTGCTGCGGCCGACCTCGTTGGTCTTGAGTCGGTCGGTGCGGCGTCTGCCCCTAGCGGGAGACGCCGCTCTGGCAAGGGCAAGGGGGGCAAGGGCACGGGTGGAGCTATCGGGGGCGGTGGAGGTGGCGGTGGAGGCGGTGGAGGGAGTGGGGGTGGCGGTGGGAGTGGTGGCGGGGGTGGAGGTGGTGGTGGCAGCAGCGGAGGCGGAGGTGGTGGAGGCGGTAGCTGTGGGAGCGGAGGCGGCGGTGGTGGCGGAGGTGGAGGCGGCGGTGGCGGAGGAGGTGGAGCTGGTCGGGGTGGTGCTTCGCAGCGGAGCGGCTCCGGTGGTGGTCAGCGCCAGCAGCAGCAGCAGCAGCAGCGTTCTCGGGACATCCCCCCTCCTCAGCAGCTCCGTGAGTGGTACACGCAGCGTCAGAGTGGTGGGGGTTTTGGTCTGTGCACCTACGTCCTTCGCTCCGGCGACCGCGCGGGTGAGCAGTAAGGGGGTGCTCACCCCACCCAGCGCTGCTTTGGCCGCCTGACGGACGCTTGGCGTCACCAGTTCCCGAAGGCTAGTGAGATCCCCCGCTGGGAAGAGCTGTCTAGGGCAGGTGTAGCTATCTATGATCTTGACTTAGATGCTATCCTTGCTGCCATGTATGCTGTGACTATAAGTGATGAGGGTGACTGTTACCGGTGTTTCCCGCCCGACCCGGGCATTGGTACTGCTGCGCTAGGTGCCAATGAGGCTGCTGCTCTAGGTGCCAGCGCGTCTGCGCCCTCAGGTACTGGTGAGGCTGCGCTCTCAGGTACCGCGTCGGCTTCGGCCTCCCTCACCTTCACACTTGACTCAGGGGCTTCTCGCTCCTTCTTTCGAGACCGCACCACACTCACGCCGCTTGGCCGGCCGGTTGCAGTCTCCCTGGCAGACCCCTCTGGGGGTCCTATCCTCTCTCACTTCTCCACTGTCCTCCCGTGTCCGGCGGCCCCCTCTGGCACCCTGTCTGGTCTTTACCTCCCCTCGTTCTCGACGAACTTGGTGAGTGGGGCTGACGTGCAAGATGCGGGGGTTCACCAATTTTCTCCTACGAGTCAGCGGGTGACCCACTGCTCGGACGCCCGCACGGGCCGCCACCTGGCCACGTTTTCGCGTCGGCCGGGGTCGAGTCTCTACACCCTGACCACTGGGTCCCCTCCTGTCCCTGCGTCTGGCCAGGTAGCTGCGTCGGGTCAGGTGTTTGCTGCAGCGTCCAGGTCTGGTCCAGAGTCTGCCCCCTGCTCGTGTCGCCTCCTGTCTCACGAGACTCTCCTGTGGCACCACCGTCTTGGTCACCCCTCTCTGCCTCGTCTCCGAGGCATGGCTTCCCGTGTCCTTGTCTCTGGTCTTCCCCGGTCCCTCCCTCCCCTTCCTCCAGGGCCTGGTCCTTCCTGTGTCCCCTGTGTCGAGGGGCGGCTCCGGGCTACCCCTCACTCCTCTTAGTTTCCCCCGACAGAGGCCCCGCTGCAGACGCTTCACATGGACGTGTGGGGCCCGGCCCGCGTCCGTGGACAGGGTCATGAGCGCTACTTCCTGCTGGTGGTTGACGACTACTCGGGTTACACCACAGTCTTCCCCTTGTGCAGCAAGGGTGATGTCACTGAGGTGTTGATCGTCTGGATCCGCGCAGCCCGTCTCCAGCTCAGGAGGAGCTTCGGCTCGGACTTTCCTGTTCTGCGTCTGCACTCTGACCGAGGCGGAGAGTTCTCCTCTGGCCTTCTGCGAGCCTACTGTCGTGCGCGAGGCATCCGCCAGACCTTTATGCTTCCGGACTCTCCACAGCAAAATGGGATTGCTGAGCGCCGCATTGGCATGGTCATGGACGTCGCTCGTACGTCCATGATGCATGCGGCTGCCCCCCATTTTCTGTGGCCGTTTGCGGTTCGGTACGCGGCGCATTAGATCAACCTTCACCCGAGGGTCTCCAGGCCGGAGACCTCCCCAGCCTTGCTGTGGACGGGGAAGGTCGGCGATGCGTCTGCGTTCCGTGTCTGGGGATCTCGGGCGTTTGTCCGCGACTTGTCTGCGGACAAGCTGTCCCCCCGTGCTGCTCCCTGTGTCTTCCTTGGCTTCCCCACTGACGCCCCTAGGTGGCAGTTCTACCACCCCTCCTCTCGTCGTGTTCTGTCCTCCCAGGGTGTCACGTTCGACGAGTCAGTCCCCTACTACCGTCTCTTTCCCTACCGCACTCCTTCCCTCCCCCCGCCGCCGCACTTCCTTGTGCTAGGTCCCCCCCCGGTAGACCCCCTCCCCCCTCAGGGAACTGC